CTGCATGTCATACTGACTGACAGTATTATTTCTCTTCCCCAGCAGACTCCAAGGGCATTTAAATTAAAGGTACAGTGTTCTGCACTAATATAAAGGCTCTCTGAAGCCTAGAAACCCTTTTAATAAGTTAAATTCGCAGCGAATAAATTCGCATCGAATCGAATTTATTCCACAAATTCGGCGAATCAGCCGAATCAAATTTTTGAATAATTCGCTCATCTCTATTGACAATTCATACTTGATTGAGGGAGAAAAAAGTGATTCACATACATATTATCATGCAGAACAGTGCAGAACATTAGAAAATGTGCACACTGGAAATTTTCATTTATTGAAGAATTTTGTTTCATCATATTTATTATGTTGAACTGATTTGTTTTTTTGGAATTCATTTTGTATATTTGTTGGTATATATCAATATATTATTGAATTGGACAGATTTGAATAGGAAGAATTTGATGTTTTCAGCCCACCAAGAAAAATGGCACAAGCTGATTGGACAATATCGACTGGCGCTATGTGCATTCAAATTAACAAATGGAATGAAATTCAAATCCATTCATTATCTGAATCATCAAATGAGTTCAAAACTGTATTTATTTATTACAGGTACTTATATAGCGCCATCAATTTACACAGCGCTTTACACATATATTGTACATTCACATCATCAGCCCTAACCCTCATGGAGCGTACAGTCTAAGGTCCCTAACACACATTCATACATACATATACTAGGGCCAGTTTACCCTAGGTTCATATCTAAGCGGTTTCCACAGTGTTTTGCAGAAACGCACTGCAGTCCACTTAACATGATTTCCTATGGGACATGTTCACATCTCTGCGTTTTCACCTGTTGTGTTTTTTGGAAGGGGTCAGGGACTTTTTTGAACGCAAAAAGTTGCGTTTTTGGTTCTATAGAAACGCTGCAGAAAAGCATATAGTTCATTTTTTATGTGTTTTTGATACTTTTTTTTAATGTGTTTTGCATTTTAAATCTGCCTAGCACCAAGAAAAAAAAAGCAAAATGCAAAACGCATCAAAAACATGACAAAAACGCAATGCAGAAATGAGTCAATCGCAACTTGCATAGGTGTGAACCTAGCCTTAGTCAGGAACCAATTAACCTACCAGAATGTCTTTGGAGTGTGGTAGGAATCTGGAATATCTGGAGGAAACCCACGCTGGCACAGGAAAAACATGCAAACTCCATGCAGGTAGTGCTGTGGTTGGGATTTGAACCAATGACCCTAGTGCTGCCAAGTGAAAGTGCTAACCACTTAATAACTGTGCTGCCCTCAAAAATGTAATTCATTTTCCCATGGGCCTGAACTACTATTGCATTATGTGACATCATCCAAACAAAACAAATGTATTTGATAATTTCATTATACATTTTTTTCAGATTTGTTGACATTTGTTTCTATGTTCATTTGGAGATTTGTATAATCCAAATCCCTGAAAATTAAATTTTTGCCCGAAAAACGAATTATAATGAAATGCATATGTCTAAAGAACCCTTAAACCAGTACCCTTCTGAAGATGGTCTTCAGAAGATACAGCCTCTGAGTACTCTTTGAATGGTCCTGGAATACATATGCATGCATGGGCAGCACAGTGGCTAAATGGTTAGCACTTCCAGCTGGCAGCACTAGGGTCATTTGTTCGAATCCCAACCACAGCACCACCTGCCTGAAGTTTGCATGTTCTCCCTGTGCCTGCATGGGTTTACTCCAGTTTCCTCCCTCACTACAAAGACATGCTGGTAGGTTAATTGGCTCCCGTCTAAATTGGCCCTAGTGTGTGTATGAATGTAAGTTAGGGACCTTAGATTGTACACTCCTTGAGGGTTAGGGACTGATGTGAATGTACAATATATATGTAAAGCTCTGCGTAAATTGATGGCGCTATATAAGTACCTGAAATAAATAAATAATAAAATATGCATGCCTGTATTTTTCAGTTGTGCATGCAAACAAAGAAACATACATTTTCAGGTATAGGTGGGTCCCTAAGGTGACATTTACTAAACAACCACTGCAGGTGAATCTTCTTGGATATTGTGTTTTAATACAGAGTAAATGATTCACTGCCATTGAATGTTTGATGAATGTCACATTTGCTACTTTTTAAATATTATGCTCCCTAGAGGTTAGTATAAGGTTATGGGTAAAATGTAATTAAAGGGCTTTAATGCCAGCATCGTGTGTGCAGAGATAGAGTATGCGGCACAGGTTTATCCCACATGGAAGAAAAATATATTTGAAATATATTTTTTTTTAAATATATTCTTCAGATTTTTTTTAACATATAAAAAAGTAATTTCAACATATATTTTTACATATATGAATGCATTCCAAAAATTTAGATTTTGTATTTTTAAAGACATAAAGTATATTTGAAATGTATTTTTAAAAATATTGTTCATATATTTTGTAAAAAAAATGCATTTCAACATACAGTGTGTGTGTATATATATATATATATATATATATATATATATATATATATATATAATTTTTTTTCAAATATATTGAATATGGCCAAAATTGTAGCGTTTCAAATATATGCCATTATATTGGGAAGAATGTTTTAAAAATATATTTCAAATATATTTTTATTCCATATGGGATACATTGAACTGTTTACCAGCAATCTGACGACAAGTTGTTGTAGGGGCTCAAGACTTCGTATCATTTCGATTTGATCTAAATTCTGACATTACTTTAACAAATATGACATTCAACAAAGACAGGAAACACATTGGACTAAAATGAAAGGAAAACAGGAACAAAACTGAAGAAACGAGTTAATTCACTATGGGACAGATTGGGATGAGGAGATCATGCTGTCTGGTTGGTTGGATAGATCTCAGCCTTCTAAACAAACAATGAAGTAAATAAACAGTAGCGCAGAAAAAGTTGGGGTGGTTAAGTTCATGTTCAGGTTATAAGCCAAAACAGCGGATCTGTGTCTGCAAGATTGACAAGAAGCTGAAAGTGTAGCCGACTCTTCCCTGCTGGCCAGACCATTGTGCAGAAAGAAGTGTTTTCATAAGGCTTAGACAGAATTCATTTCCATGCACTGCCTTTAATGGTTCCTGTCAGAACGAAACAGCTGGTGAGCATATGGGATTCATTTCCCTGTATCACGTGGAAAAAATTTCACATGTAAATAGAACTAACATAAAAGTGTAGCCCTTGAACCCAGAATCTTATAGAAGGCATAAAAATGCATGTGCACAATGATGTGTCTGTGGCGGCTAGCAGGCTATTGCGTTTTCCATTGTCCTAAAATAAGAGAATTGCAGGCTTAACAGTTATCGTTTTCAGCCTGCTGTATTTTAACTCGAGATTTGATTTAATTGTTTAAATTGAATTACATTCCCAAATATAAAATGAGTGTTTAAAGATATTTTTATTGTTACAGCAATGAAATGTAAGTCAGTTTGGAATCTGGCCATACATTGGGTATCTGTCTTCTACTTGATTTAAATAAAGTCCAATTTAGGATCGGTAAAGATTATTTGAGTCTATGACAATATCAGTGCAAGTGTTCCCTGGGCTATTTGTAGACACAAAAAAAAAAAAAAATACAGGCAGGATGATTTATTAGTTAATATGTTCAGGATGGTCATCCTATTTAAATGCCTAATATGATTAATAAAAAATGATCTATGTATCTGTACATTTATCAGTCTGTCTATCTGTCTATCTATCTATCTATCTATCTATCTATCTATCTATCTATCTATCTATCTATCTAGCATAGTGCTGTCTGTCTCGGCTATGGCACCGCTAAATTGTCATTAAAGCTGTCTTAAAATACCAAACAAAACCTTCTCTTTGTTCCTCCAAAGACCTCCTGCTGTCTAGCTCTCTTTTCACCTCCCCTATGCTCGCCTCCAGTACTTTCTGTTGAGCCTCTCCCATCCTCTGGGACTCCCTACTCCGTTCTATCCGACTATCTCCTACTCTGTCCACTTTTAGGCGATCCCTAAAAACCCTTCTCTTTGGAGAAGCCTATCCTGGCTCCACTTAGCCCTCATGCTCACTGGACATTTTTACAGCGGCTGTTTTTGGTTTTTGCCATTTCTTTTCTACAGCCAGTAAACCGCCCAGCATGTTATCCTATGTGTCCATCCACACATGGACTGTAATCAACGTTTTTTGGCAGGGGGGGGCGGGCGTTTTTTGGCCCAGAACTAGTGGGTTTCTAGAGGAGTTTTTTAGCTGTTAAAACGCTGTAATGTTGAAAAACGCTGTAAATCACGGCAAACCAGCATTTTGGGACTTTTTTGACCCCCATTAAAACTTTTTTTAGTAAAGAAAGACTCTATAAAATGCGGCAAAACACTGCTAAACGCTAATACAAAAATGCTAAAAACTGCTGAAAACCTCAAGTTTTTAATGTGACGTTACATAGCTAACATTACCAACATTATTAAAACGTCCAGTGTGCATGAAGCCTTAACAACTGTACTGTACTTTCTCCATCAGCTCATCCCCCACAGTTATTACCTTTTGAATCACTTGATTCTCCCTTTTAGACTGTAAGCTCTAATGAGCAGGGCCCTCTAATTGCTCCTGTATTGAATTGCATTGTAACTGTACTGTCTGCCCTCATGTTGTAAAGCGCTGCACAAACTGTTGGAGCTAAATAAATCCTGTATAATAATAATAATAATACATTAATCTTCAGATTGCTGGAGCTGGAAATAAAAACTTAGGACCAAATATTAATATTTTTGCCATAGGGTTAAGGTGGGAAATGTAGTAGCAAAAGGTGATTAAAAAGAAGGAAAAGGTGCAGAGAGTAAATATAGAAAGTAAAAAAAAAGTACCGTATATTCGCTTCATAAGACCCACTATTTTCCCACCAAAAAATGGGGGGAAAATGTGTGTCTATGGCGCGAATATGGAGCGGCCGGCCCGGTATTCCCGCCGCCGCCGTGTCAGAATACTGGGCCGGCCGCTCGACTCTTCTTTGCAGCAGAACCTTACCTGTTCTTCGGTCCAGCGGTGTCCTCACGGTCTTTTCTCTTGGCACGGGCGTCTTTAGTGTGGCACCCGGCTGTGACAGCTTGCGGCTTCACAGCCAGGTGCCCACTGCACATGCACGAGAAGCGCTGCGCTTTGTGAATGGTCCGGCAGTCTTTTGGGACCTGTCACGTGTCCCAAAAAACGGGGAAGAAGGAAGTGGGAGCTGGTATCTGCAAAATTCGGGTACCTGCTTCCCCCCCTCCCCAAAGGTCCGCAGTCTCTGGTCATCCCCTGTACTGTGTCTGCAGTATCTGGTCATCTTCTATACTATGTCCGCAGTCTCTGGTCATCTCCTGTACTGTGTCCTCAGTCTCTGGTCATTCCCTGTACTGTGTCCGCAGTCTCTGGTCATCTCCTGTACTATGTCCGCAGTCTCTGGTCATCTCCTGTACTGTGTCCACAGTCTCTGGTCATTCCCTGTACTGTGTCCGCAGTCTCTGGTGATCTCCTGTACTATGTCCGCAGTCTCTGGTCATCTCCTGTACTGTGTCTACAGTCTCTGGTGATCTCCTGTACTATGTCCGCAGTCTCTGGTCATCTCCTGTAGTATGTCCGCAGTCTCTGGTCATCTCCTGTAGTATGTCCGCAGTCTCTGGTCATCTCCTGTACTGTGTCTGCAGTCTCTGGTCATCCCCCCTGTACTGTGTCCGCAGTCTCTGGTCATCTCCTGTACTATGTCCGCAGTCTCTGGTCATCTCCTGTAGTATGTCTGCAGTCTCTGGTCATCTCCTGTACTGTGTCCGCAGTCTCTGGTCATCACCTGTACTGTGTCCGCAGTCTATGGTCATCTCCTGTACTGTATTTGCAGTCTCTGGCGATCTCTGTAGTATGTCTGCAGTCTCTGGTCATCTCCTGTAGTATGTCCACAGTCTCTGGTCATCTCCTGTAGTATGTCCGGAGTCTCTGGTCATCTCCTGTAGTGTGTCCGCAGTCCCTGGTCATTTCCTGTAGTATGTCCGCAGTCTCTGGTCATCTCCTGTAGTATGTTCGCAGTCTCTGGTCATCTCCTGTAGTGTATCCGCAGTCCCTGGTCATCCCCTGTAGTATGTCTGCAGTCTCTGGTCATCTCCTGTACTATGTTTGCAGTCTCTGGTCATCTCCTGTACTATGTCTGCAGTCTCTGGTCATCTCCTGTACTGTGTCCGCAGTCTATGGTCATCTCCTGTACTGTGTCCGCAGTCTCTGGTCATCTCCTGTACTATGTCTGCAGTCTCTGGTTATTTCCTGTACTGTGTCTGCAGTCCATTGGTTCAGAATATTTTTTTTCTTGTTTTCCTCCTCTAAAACCTAGGTGCGTCTTATGGTCAGGTGCGTCTTATGGAGCGAAAAATACGGTATTTTGTCTAATTTACATCATGGCACATGCAACCTTACCATTAAACAATGCTAGTTTTAAAGAGGCCCTTTGGAAGCGTTTATTACAACAATAATGCTTATTGAGTTATATGTGCTTTTTACGTATTTTAGGCATGCAATTTACCTGTAAAATCCTCCCTTGTGTAGATATCGAAAAGCCCTCAGACTGCTGCTGGCCATCACCATGTTGGATATGATGTTAGCAGCCCCAGCAGACTCAGAGCTGTCACTATAGTGGCACTATCTCGCCCTGGTGCCCAACCAGTGGTCATTGGCCACCTATTGTGCGTCCCTTGGGGCCTGCGCACAATAGTCTGTGTTTTCATTATCTAGGTGCCTAGTCAGGCTAGTGAAGTAAAATATTCTTTAAACCAGTTTTCAGTATTTAATTGATTGGTTTGTTTATTTCTTTCACACTCTCTTACTATTTTCTGTGATGTCCACATAGAAATATTAAATGTGGCACAAGTAATTTTTAAGGGGACTGTAGGGAGCAGAAATGTAAAAGCACTGACTAGCAAAGGGACTATAATAGCAGTAATGTCTAGCAGTCACATATAATGCGTCCCTAGTTTCCAACAACTTCAATGTCATATCTGCAGTCCTGCCATCTCATGTAGCATTTATGTAGTCTCACAGGACCTCCTGTTACAAATCTGCAATCTCTGACAGCTTTTAGTAGCATACCATTCACTGCATATTATGTGCAGCCGTTTTGTGATGTCAGGGGCCACACTTGAGGACCCCTATATCAAGAAAGTTGACTACCACTGCTCTATATTATTCCCATTCATGCCTCCCCAGCAGCTACATAAAATATTCTATAGGAAGGTGTGGGGAGGGTCGGAGATGCTGGGTCAGCACAGTAATTAGACATTCCCAGAAGAGGAGAGGGTTATGAAATTGCAGAAGGGAGGGGGCAATACTAGGGAATTCACTAGTTAGTTTTCTAGTGAGCTCAGAGGCATGTTGCAAGTTACAGTGGTTGTAAATCTCAGACATGAACAAACCATATGCCTCTCTACTGTGTACATGTCTCAGTTAAGGGCACTGTGGGGATTATTTACTAAAACTGCATGGTATAAAATCTGGTGAAATTCTGCATAGAAACCAATCAGCTTCCAGGTTTTATTGTCAAAGCTTAATTGAACAAGCTGAAGTTAGAAGCTGATTGGTTACCATGCACAGCTGCACCTGATTCTGAGTGCTCTAGTTTTAGTAAATCTCCCCCTAAGTGTTATTTCTGTCTGCTGCTTCTTCCCTCTGCAATCAGTATGAATCACTTCTGACAAGTTTTCCTGACATTAGGAGAAAAATGGTGACGGAAAGGGACCTCCAGCAGATTGACAGCCTCAGCTCTTTTCCTGTGAGCTGTGTGGAGGGGGGGGGGGGGGGTCTTGTCCCTTTAATCAGCTCTCAGAGCTCTCCTCCCTGAGCTCTGCATGTGTCATGTCAGCTCTCCACCCCTTTTTTTTTTCCGAACTCTCAGACAAGCTTTATGACTTTGGCACTTTGAACGGATGTAGAGAAGACTTCAGAAATACAGATACAACTTATGTAGGATGATTTGTTTTCATCTCTGTGTATCTCTGTGAGTCACTTCACTTGGTATATGTAAGGATTTACAACCACTTTCATACAAAATAAGAGAAAGGCAAAATGCGTTTAAATCATATATTGATTTCTAGCCTACTTCTTTTTTATCTGAATGATACTGAAGTTTGGAAACTTACTTTGTGAAGAACCCCAAACTTTACTTTTTTGAATGCCGTGACACATATTTACTATGCCCTGTGAACATTCCACTGCTTTATCACCCACTTTACAAACCCTGCTGTCTGAACTACAACTATACTATACTGAAAAATAGAAGGCGTCTCAGGAGGCGAAATTTGTACAGGAAACCATCATCACCATGGCATCAACAGATTATCATGGGATATGTAGACCTCAGAAATTAAATTAACAGGAATGAGCAAAGGAGACGCTTCAGAGCATGAAGGGAATACAGGAAGTTGGGGAAAGCAATGACTAGCAGACAGGCAGAACTCACAACAGGACATTTTTCAAGTAAGCTGATATTGGATTGTCAGAAATAAATATATTGCTATTATAATGTTGATGTTATAAAATTAAAGTGTAAGAGATGTGACTTTAGATCGCCTTTGAAATACATTACATTTCTGAGCTGTTACCTGAAATGTTTTGAATCCGTGATGGGGTCCCTGTAACAGTGGTTGAATTTGTACCTTACCTTAAGTGCTTATTCACACCATAGTGCAAATTCCAGAGAGGTCAGTTTTTCAACACATATTCTGCAAGGGCCCAATGAAATCAATTGTTCTCTATGTGCCCCATACACATCACAACACTAGTATCACGTGCAGATTTGTTCTGCGCAGGAATCTGCAACGTGTATAAAAACTTGTTGAGGCAAACATGAAAATTGATGTCTCTGCAAGTGAAATCTGCGCGTCAGTTTTTGTGCTGGTATGGTGTGAACAAGGCCTTATATAACACAATACAATGAGGAAGTCAACAAAGGGATAACTTGTGCAAAAAGTGTAGACTGGAAATAGTATGTTCTGGTTTACTGACTGTTTTTGTGCAGCTACAACTCCATTGCAATAAATGATATTGTTTATTTATTCTGCAAGCTACAGTATATGCAGAATAATCTAACCCAGTGTGTTCAGTGAATGTCAGGGAACCAAAGGTTACATGGTGAAGAATTACATACTTTCTTTATAACGTTAACATTCCAAAGATTGTCTTATAATGAGCTGAGAGGCAGGTGCACATCAGCCAGCAAAAAATAGCAAGTGTGGTCTGAAAATGTTTTATCTAAAATAGAAAGTGGCATAGAGCTATATTTTAAATACAACATACACTATATTGCCAAAAGTATTGGGAGACCCCTCCAAATCATTGGATTCAGGTGTTCCAATTACCTCCATGGCCACAGGTGCATAAAATCAAGCACCCAGGCATGCAGTCTGCTCCTACAAACATTTGTGATATCACTCTCAGGAGCTCAGTAAATTCACGCGTGGTACCGTGATAGGTTTCCACCTGTGCAATAAGTCCATCCGTGAAATTTCCTTGCTACTAAATATTTCACATCAACTGTTGGTGGTATTATAACAAAGTGGAAGCAACTGGGTACTACAGCAACTCAGCCATGAAGTGGTAGGCAGCATAAAATGTCAGAGCAGGGTCAGCACATGCTGAAGCGCACAGTGCGCAGAAGTCACCAACTGTCTGCAGAGTCAATAGCTAAAGACCTCCAAGCTTTATGTGGCCTTTAGATTAGCACAACAGTGCGTAGAGTGCTTCATGGAATGGGTTTCCATAGCAGAGCAGCTACATCCAAGCCTTACATCACCAAGTGCAATGCAAAGCATCGGATGCAGTGGTGTAAAAAACATCGTCACTGGACTCTAGAGCAGTGGAGAAATGTTCTCTGGAGTGACAATCACACTTCTCTATCTGGCAATCCAATGGACGTGTCTGGGTTTGGTGGTTGCTAGGAGAAGGGTACTTGTTTGACTACATTGTGCCAAGTGTAAAGTTTGGTGGAAGGGGGATTATGGTGTGTGGTTGTTTTTTAGGGGTTGGGCTTGGCCCCTTAGTTCGAGTAAAGGGAATTCTTAAGGCGTCAGCATACCAAGACATTTTGGACAATTTCATGCTCCCAACTTTGTGGGAACAGTTTGGGGATGGCTCCTGCCTGTTCCAAGAGGATTGCGCACCTGTACTTAAAGCATGCTCCATAAAGACATGGATGAGTGAGTTTGGGGTAGAGAAACTTAACTGGCCTGCACAGAGTCCTGACCTCAACTCGATAAAACACCTTTGGGATGAATTAGAGCGGAGACTGCGAGCCAGACCTTCTCATCCGACATCAGTGCCTCGCCTCACAAATGTGCTTCTGGAAGAATGGTCAAACATTCCCATAGACACACTCCAAAACTTTGTGGACAGCCTTCCCAGAAGAGTTGAAGCTGGTATAGCTGCAAAAGGTGGGCCAACTCAATATTGAACCATACGGACTAAGACTGGGATGCCATTAAAGTTCATGTGTATGTGAAGGAAGGCAGCCCAATACTTTTGGCAATATAGTGTATATCAGCAACTCTGGGTGTAGGGACAACAAAATAACAATTGATGGCATGATCCCACTCAATTATTATGTATTTATTAAGTGGTTGTAATTCAGAAGGTTTTTTACCTTCATGCATTCTATGCATAAAGCTAAAAAACATTCTGCATGCAACGACCCCCCCCCAAATGCTTACCTGAGCCCAATTTCAATCCAGCAATGTGCATGACAGCAAAGGCTTTCTCAGCTCTCTCTCTGCTCATTGGCTCAGAAAAAGCAGCGAGAGCCATTGGCAATCACACCCAGTGAGCAGGGAGCAGGGGGTGGGGCCGAGCCACGTTCTGTGTCTTGGGGGCACTCAGCTGGGTGATGGAGCCAGGAGCTCAAGCAAGGGACCTAAGAAGAGGAGGATCGGGTTGCTCTGTGCAAAACAATTGCACAGAGCAGGTAAATATGACATGGTTGGTATTTTTTTTTAAAATTTGCTTTTACAATGACTTTAAATATGGAATTAATATAAATAGAGCATTATTGCTTATGGTTACTCTCCAATGCACGTTATAACTAAAATTAAAAAAATAATCATAAACTATTCACTAAATTAAATTACTGGAGAAAAATTCATATATCTATATGTAATTGCATCTAAATATTTTAACATCACCAACCACATTG